TGTCCGCGAAGCGAGCGCGGGCTGAGCGGCTGTCGCACGGCGCGAGGTCTCGCAGTGGCGGTCCGGGTGGGCACCTGCAGACCCCGGCGAGGGGGTTCCTGCCAGGTGAGTGCGGACTTTTCGATCACCGGCAGGGTTAGGTCGGCGGGGGTACGACCTGGCAGCGGGTCCCCTCGCCTGGCATGTCAGTGAGCCGGGAGACGTTTGGAGTCTGATGAGGGAGGCCAAGTTCGCGTGGGTTTCAGGTAGAGAAGGGTGATCCCCTTTTCCTGTGACCCGCTGCCGGCGGTGCCCGCCTTCCGTGGTTGTCTTCTTGCGCACTCTCCCTCTCCTCCACATCGCATGTCCCGGTCTCCTGGAAGTTAGGGCAGACTGCTGCAATCCGAGGGACCGTGGTCAACCCCACGGCCTCATTCACGGGAAACCCGGTTCCTCCTTTGAGAAATCAGGGTTTCGCGTGCTCCCCGGTCGCGAGCGGTAGGGAGGACGCGGCGTTTTCCCACTCTGAGGTTGTCCTGTTGTGGGGCGCACGGTGGTCTGTGGCACATGCTTAGCTTTGGGCTCAGAGCGGGGTCCAGGGTGCCCCTAACACCCCTCCGCTGCTCCCACCGCCCTTCCCGGAGCCGTGCGAGGGAATCGTCGCCCCACTTGCCGCGGCGGCCCTCGAACTCCCGGGGCGCTCTGTCCCTGATGCCGCGGGGAGGAGGGTGGGAGCCTAACGTTGGCGGGAGGTGGCCAACGCCACCTGTTAATCTTAGATCCTGCGCAAAGTGACCAGTAGATTTTCGTCCCCACCTCTGCTCCCCAACCCCCGACCCCCAACAGGTAACTGAATCCCACAGGCACGTGTAGGATCTGCCAGTGAGCTGGGGCGGGAGGGATTTTAAAAAGAGAAGAAAATGTGGTCGATGTGATGCAATTTAACAAAAGGCAATAAAATAAACTCCAGCATTTCTCCAAGGCTTTGAAACTTTCCCAGTATTGTTTTACGGAGTCTAAGTTTACGCGTCTAGCTTTTTTCTTTTTCTTTTCTTTTGGGGAAAAAAAAAAAAAAACCGCAGAAACTAACCTCAGAAAACTTAACTCTTTGCCAGGACCTAGTTGGTGCAGAGCAGAAAACTTGACGTGAGTTAAGAAAAATGATTTTTTTGTGTCTCTCCCTCC